GGGCAGCTTCCGCCCCGGCCTCAGGGACCGCCCGGGCGCGGGGCCCCGCCGACCTCGTCCTCCTCCTTCACCTCGTCCTTCCTCGGGCTCCGCTTCCGCCTCCGGGCCGGCGCGAGGCCGGGGTCCTCCTCCTTGGGGAATCCGAGAGCGAGGAATGAAGCGTGCTCTCCACTGACCCATCCCGCGACGCACGGGACTTCGCGTCGGAGGGGGCAAGTGAGGCAGAGAAGGACTGAGGTCAGAGGGAAGGCTCGGGCCCCGGGCAGCAAGGCCTGCCCCCCAGCAGGGGACCACAGGGAAGTCCCCAAACAGCCCCTGCGCTCTGCTGAACGCAGGATACGAACGCAGATACCGTGGTTAAATACAGACTCATTCTGAAAGGCAGATCCTGGCCCGCTAAGGGATCTGTTCTGGAAACCCTGGCTGTCCCTGCTTGGGGGTGACAGATACGTCTGTTGTGATCGTGGTGGTTTCCCGAGTACGTGTCAACTCGGCAAACTGCACTTCAAATGTGAGCAATTTACTGTGTCAGTGACTGCTGACACAGACAGACCCCCCTCCAATCAACAAACAGCTAAGTCCCTCTACCAGCTGTGTTTCCAGCCCAGAAATGTTGAAAGGAAGCCCCGGAGGACTGGTAAAAAGGGGGTCATGAACTGGGAGCAGTTGTGGGGGGGTTGGGGTCGGACACACAGCTGGGCATCTAGCATGTCTGCTTCTGACGCATGTCATCTTGGCAGAGTTATTTCACTCGCCTGTGCCTCAGTTTCTTTATCTGAAAAACAGCGATAATAATAGTATCTACCTCACAGAGCCGCATAGGTAAGCTGTGCTTACTATCGCTGTTGGTATTTTATTCTGGAAGCCGTAAATTTGAGCCATGTTTAGTGAAGATGTGAATTGGAAGGATGTAGAGAAGATATGGAAGGTTGCCACAGGACATCCTGGGGGAAGTACTGAGGGAAATTGCCCATGTGGTGGTCGAGCAGGGGGTGCGGGACCCCAGGGGAGGGGGGTGCGGGGTGGGGGGCACTCACACTGGCCGGCTCCTGGCTCCCTTGGTAGCCGAGGTCATCAGCCAAGCTGTGGATGGGCGTCAAGCGTACAGCAAAGGTGTTAAAGGAGGGATCTTCTGCCCCTGGGGCTCTCCAAGCTTCTTTGGTCTCCTGGGGGAGAGAAGGAGCCAGTCAGGAGGGAGCAGCTCGCACCAAGCGGGACGGCAGGGTCAGTGGCCTTGTCCTGCCTGTGCGCCTGCCTGCCCCCTTACTTTGAGGATGGAAGATAAAGACACATTCTCTTTCTTCTTCATGATCATAAAGTTCTCTGATCACTAATGTGATGAGCCTCTGGCGTGTCCGCTCCCCGCCCACTACACGCTCACAATTCTTTAGTCTCCATGTCCTCACAGAAGTGGTTGTCGTAGCAATAGGAGGGTGGGGTCCCAGGCCCAGGGGTTGGCGGGGTGCTCCTCTATGGGGCTGAGAGGGCATGCGGGCACATGCGCACACACACCCCTGCTTTACTTCTCAGCAGGAGGAGGCTGGAAATGCTCACTCCCCAACCCCTACCTACCAGGGTGAGCAGAAGGAAGACCAGGCTTAACTAGAGAGACTGTGGTCCAATTCCAAAAATGGCGCAAACCCTCAAAAGGCTTCAAGACGAGGCAGATGCAGACTCCAGAATCCACCTTGGAATCCACATGTGCTGGAGAAGCATTTGGCAAGAAGCGGAAAACAGTCCACTGAGAACTTCAGGTGCCAGGTTTGTCTGAGATTTTCAAGGGATCCAAAGACTTAGTTTGTGCCAAGAGCCGGAGCTGCCTGGGCCCCTCTCCCTCAAATGCAATGCTGCGATATGTAACCCTTTGTAGGACCCTAGATTCTCTTTGAAAGTCATAGAGGGCATTTTGGAGAAAATTGAATATGGACTCTACATCAGAAAATAGAATATTATGTCAGTGTCAAACTTCGTGGGTGCAATGATGTTACTGTGATTATGGAAGAAAATGTTCTTGTTCTTGGCCAGCACTGGGGTGTGCCCAGGCAGGGGGCCTAAGACAAGCTTCAAGATTCCTGCTCATCCCAGTCTCAGCCCGGCTTGCAGAACTGAGGACTGCCCTTGAGTAGCAAGGAAGAAGTGATGGGCTTGGAGAGACCAACCAAGTCTCTGAAGTAGAGGGAGGGGAAGGGGGGAGGGTCACTATGCCTGGGGAGCCCTTGGATAAGGCTGAGGGGGTGTGACTGGGCTCCGATGGAACCCATAGCCCGAGAGCAGACAGGATCGAATGGCTTAATGGATGCCAGAAAGGAAAAGTATTGATAAGCAGGGGGCACCTGGGTGGGCCAGTCAGTTAAGTGATTTGATTTGGGCTCAGGTCATGATCTCAGGGTGGTGAGATCCAGTCCCACATCAGGCTCCACGCTCAGCTTGGGGCCTGCTTGGGTTTCTCTCCTCCCTCTGCCCCTCCTCTTTCTCTCCCCTCCTCCTCTAAAATAAATAAATAAGGGACACCTGGGTGGCTCAGTTGGTTAAGTGTCTGCCTTCTGCTCAGGTCATGATCTCCGGGTCCTGGGATTGAGCCCCGCATTGGGCTCCCTGCTCAGTTGAGAGCCTGCTTCTCCCTCTGCCTCTGTGGCTCCCCCTGCTTGTGTTTGCTCTCTCTCTGTTTAAATAAATAAAATCCTTTTAAAAAAATAAAATAA